TGTGTGTGTGTGTGTGTGTGTGTGTGTGTGTGGCCAGCTCAGCCCACCAGGGGGCGGGGCTGGCTGGCATGTGGTGCTGGGGGATTGAACCGCTGTCCCTGTGCTTTGCTAAGCTTGTTCCAAGTAGGTGCTCCAGACCACTGAGCCATCTCGCCAGCCCCCCCAGCTCACCTTGGAAAGGGGACCAGTGCGGGATGGTACACCTGCACCAATACTCAGGCCCACACAGGTTTAGTCTCTACCAGCCTGGGGAAGGGACCCCAAGCTCCTCTTCTCCCCAGTCACTGCACCTCAAGGCTACCAACAAGAGCCCGAGAATAAGGCCAGGGGCAGGGACTCCACCTGGGGTCTACAGGCCCTGACATGGGCCCAATGCCATCCTCAGCTGTCCGCTGCCCCATAGGCTCCACAAAGGGCCACACCCCAAACGCCAAGGAAATCTGACTGAGAAAAGCAGCAAGGCGGCTGAGGGAGGAGCTGGTGCTGGCTACAGAGCAGCCGCAGGTTCCCGGCAAGGGCAAGTGCGGGGTCTCCCCGTTCCCCTCCAGGGAGTGGGGCCGATCCTGCAGGCCTGGGTATGGAGGAGTCCACGACTGTCCCGGCCCAGGTGATCCTGCCACCCGCCCCTGCTGCCCTCGCCCTGCAGGCTCTCTACACCCTGACCGGACTGAAAGGTGAGGTGCCCAGCAGGCCCGGCTCGAGCAAAAGTCACGGCACCAAAGCCACTAAATAAGTGAATGCACCGGGGAGGAGGGGCAGCGGTGTGACCACCTGCGACTCCGACCCAGGGACCTCAGTGCCGGCAGCCTGGGACCCCAGCTGGCCTCCGGGGGCACCGGGGCCCTCCCGCGGGACGCTGCAAGTCCAGCAGGGACCTCAGACTTGGACGTGGGCAGCACAGAAGTAAGCGAGTCCCCCAGGAAGGGGTGGAACCGGCGACAGGGTGAGGGCCTGCCCCGCCGCGGCAGGAGGGGAGACGTCGTCGGAACGAGCAGGGAGCAGTTGGCTGAGGATTTATCCCGCAAGGTGGCCGCGAACGCACAAGCCCTTCGCGCGCCGGAGCCAGGCAGCGCGGCCCCAGACGAGGACGGCAGGGCAGGGGCGGCGCCCGGGGCCGGGGCCGGGCC